ACTGCAGTTGAGTCTTTATGTCAACAGGAAGCAGCGCACTGATGGAGGAACTTTTAAATTAGCAGGAACGAGGCCTATTGGCACACTAACCAGCGGTCCTTTGTCTCTTATTCAAAGAGACAGCAGGTCTGTTGTAAACTGGCCTCACTGGGATCAACAGGCTGAAAGGAAAACACAAAGGAAGCACATTTCAACAGAAATTATCTTAGTGGGGCTTAGTGGGGAAAATACACATTCAGACAATATTTTACAACACTCAGCAACATAAACAAGCAACTGCCACCTTAAAGGTCACTTACTATGCAAAATCCACTTGTTCACGTCTTTTCTACATAAACACGTGTAAAGAGATTCAGAAAGTTTCAGGAAAAAAGATTCTCTCCCTTTTATATAAAAACCTGTCTGAAAATGAGCTGATCAGATTTTGGACACTTTATGATGTCATAACAATTTTTTGGCTTGTGTAACCATTAGCCAATCACCAACCAAGGTAACCCCCCCCACACCTTATCACCTGAATCTCCTCCTAGAGCACCATTGAGTTCTTTGTAACCAAATCTCTCTCAGAGGGGCGTGGGGAGGGGCTCCTTATTTTCAAGTAACAGACAGAGAATCAGCACTTTTGAAACAGGGCTGAAACAGAGAGGATTATGGGATGCTGCAATGATCTGTTTGGTGTTTGGAGCCAAACACTCCAGAGACATGTTCTGTATATATCTGAGACCTATAATATATTGATGAAAAACAGTATAATAGGGGACCTTTAATATATAATTACCAGTGTTCCTACTAACTGATTTATAGTTAATTGTTCATGTAGATGTTATTGTGATAGTCCTCACAGACTGACTCAGGGCTGTCCCTCCCTCCCCGTGGAGAGAGTGATGCGCACCTTGGATTTTCTCTCGGTCAAGATTATGTTAATCTGCTCTAATCTCCGGAGAGACGCTCAGAGGGCGGCCGAGCAGAGAGAGAGAGAGAGAGAGAGAGAGAGAGAGAGAGAGAGAGAGAGAGAGAGAGAGAGAGAGAGAGAGAGAGAGAGAGAGAAACAACATGGGCTTCACTTGATGCTCCCTGCACTGCAGTCAGTACAGAGAGCCTTAAAAAGAGAGCCTTATAAAACATTGTTTATGTCTGAATGGAAAGCTTTGATGTCCATTTAAAGATCTAAAAGCTGTTTTGGGACTGACCACTTTCTTTTGAAACTAATGAAAATACAGTCTTTTTTAAGATACAAAAAAAAAATCACAATATTAATATCATTTTTTAAGTAAAAATGTAAAAGTAATGAAGCTCAGCGCAAGTTCAACCAGGAAGACCGTCTTTACTCATTCACGTATCTCTATTCCCATGTTACTATACTCTCTCTCCTCTCAATAAGTGACCGGGGGCGTCACTCTTCAGTTTAACCAATCACTCGCTCTATTCCCAAGAATAGAGCGAGCTATTCATAGCGTTCTGTCAAACCTTTTAAGTCTGATCTTCCCCCTCTGACAGCTGTCATTTCAGGTGACTACGCAACCCTCCTCCGCCCCTTTTCCACCTCCTGTCCCTCTGAATCCAGGGTCAAGCTAAACCACTCCTCTTCAGACTGACCCAACTATCCATTCACCACCACCAGTGTCTAGACCCCGGGGGGGTTTCATCGGATCGGTTCTACCTTCCCGAATGATACTTCCTGCACAACGGGGCCTAATCGCCAAAATTAACATTGCATTCATTTGTGCATCTGCGCAATAAATATGTATTATTTACATCAAAACCGTCTCTCCTGATTGAATTTATTATGCTTGCAAAAAGCCCTCTGCCATTTTACTTTGGATTAAGATATTGATGCATTTACAGCTAATTTGACGTTGATGTTGTTCGTATAACGATGCCTCATATTTTATCATGCACTTATATATATGTGTTTTATCCTAATCTGCAAAGTAACCAGTAAACTGTCAGATAATTGAAGCGCAGTTAGTAAAAGGTAACATAATTACATTTAAAATACTGGGTTATTACAACAGGCTGTATAAACAACACTTTAACTGCATTTAAAAAGTAATCTGTTAGTGAGTATTACATATTTCCTTACACTTAAAGAGAGACCCTCTCACTATTTGAGACCTTGATTCAAAAGGACACAGTTCACAGTATTAAAAAGCAGAGCAGAGATACCAAGCCAGCAGAAAAACACATTCGGAGTTGAAAGTGTTGTGACCCATTTCTTCAGTCTCTCAGGGAGAATTGAAATGCAGGAGTGTCGGAGTATGAAAATATAAACCGTGTTATCATCATCAGTAATTCATCTGAAGCTCTGCTGCTTCAAAGCCTCACATCCTGCTGCAGTAATGATCAATTAAAGCGGAACTGCTCCGGCGTGGCAGAACGTCGGGACCAAAATGCAGATCGGTGCATTTAAATGCAGGTCAGAGGGAGATGCATTCAGGGGAAAGACAGAAGAAGTAGGGCAGCAGAGAGAGAGGAGGAAGACTGCAGTTTGCTGTGAGAGAGCTCGGAGTTTTACTTGGGTTGATTTTGGGTGAAAAAGAAGATGCTTCATATTTTTGTCTTACTGTTTTTTATGTATTTTAAAAGGGGGCCTTTTTATTCTTTTTGAGTTGTTCCCTTTCCTGTAGTGTGTTATATAGGTTTTTGTGCATGTAAATGGTCTGCAAAGGCTCAAATCTGTGTTCCCTCCAGAGGTTACTCTCTTTTTTTTTTCCAATATAGCGATTTAATGAATGATTATGACGGATGATACACAGCATCATTACAAAGTCAGACATTTTTCTTGCACATTTAAACAAATGTAAAAGCTACAGTCCATTGTTAGTGGATTATAATCCAATGTTTTAGGAATTCAACACTAGTAATTGGCTGTGAAACTGATGGTATATGTAATACCTATAAGGCTCTCCTGTGTTTCTCTTGGCTGAATAGCGCGCTACAATTCAACTGATTAAACTCAGGTGTCAACCCAGGTCAGCTAAGAAAAATAAGATTGAGTTTTGGTACATTTTTGGGCCTGTTATTCAACATTTTTAATAATAAAGTTCCCCTCTAGACGCTCATGAAAACCTTGAGTCTCTTTGATTGAGTTATTTTGTTGAGTGTGTCCACATAATGTCCCTGGATGCTTACCACTAAAGCCAGGGTGTGACTGTGATTACTGTAATAACCCTCAATTTAGTCAAAACACATGACACCTCTGTGGTTGCAATGCATTCTGGTCTATTGGCGCCACTTTAAGTAGAAACTCCCATCTCGTTTCTTAAGCAAGAAAGCTCTTTTTGGATATTAGGAGAGACTTGTACCTAAACTTTTCACATTTTCATAAAATAGAATGTTGGTAACACATCACATTGTGTAACTTTACAATCGTGTTCAAACGTTTAAGATTTTTCTGTCCATCAAAGGTACATTTCTTATTAGGAAAACACCACTTTAGCCCTGAGATGACATCGCCACATCACACATCCTAGTCACATAAAGGGGGGTCATAAAAGCAGGAAGCAGATTTGTTTTGACTGCCAATGGTACGATATTGGGTACAATTAGCTGGCGTTCAATTGAAAGCACATTTTAGTCTCTTGTGCTGGATTTAGGTACAGTCGAGTCACTGAAGAAGCTGTTGTGTGCGTGTCTCGTCAAAAGTGTTTCATGTTTTTGTTTAGTCCATTTTTGTATTGTCTCCCACTTCATGCTTTATTTTGACACTCACCTGTTATGTTCATTCCAGGTTCCTTGACTCCCTACCCTTGTGTGTTTCTCCCGCTCTCATCAGCACCAGCCCCTGATTGTTTTCACCTGTGCCTAGTTACCTCTTGTTTATATTCCCCAGTCTCTTGTCTTGCGTCAGTTGGTCTTGTCCTGTCTCCATGCCAGTAGTCAGTGTACCAGCGACTAAGTATTATGACTCAAGCCTAATTTATGCTTCTGAAGTCTTTAGTAAGTTTTGTTCCGATTTTCTTTTGTGCTTTTCTGAAACCGTTTTCACCTCGTCAAGAGTGTCGATCCTTATTTTGCACCATGTGTCTGTGTAATAAAGACAGACTCAAAGAGGATCAGGTAGCTGTACTATTGGGGAGATTAACACACGCAAATAGAAAGAGGTGCGAATTAAAACAGTACACCCTGTATTTCTTTTTGCAACTGGCATGACTGATTTTAGGGCTGATACAAGTTTTGGAAGTTAGAGCTGCTTCATGTAGAAGATTACATTTGATTTTGGCATGATACATATTGGAGGAAAGTGATATATTCTCTGTTCTGGTGTTGTATTTCTGGAAAACATCGACCAAGAGGGACAGAACTGCTTCAGCGACTCATATTTCAGAGGGAGGAAGCATCAGAAAACACACACGGCTCCAGCAGCTGCATCCTTGTCAATAAAATGAAAAAGGAGCCTTTGACAGCAGAGCCTGAAAAAAACCGAAATGAACCTCCAGATCTCTTAGCACACCTTTAAATCAGATCTTTGAGATGTCCTTAGATTGTAGTCGGAGCACAATAACAACAACAACACTAGGTAATGCACCATTAAAAGGTGGGGTAGGTAAGAATGGAGAAACCAGCTTGAGTGCGCTAGAATTTGAAAATACACAACCGGAAAAAATCTGCCACTTCCTTCAGACTTCCTTACAGAGCCCCTCCTCCAACACACACGAACGCGCACATGACCAATGAGGGCACGAGATAAGTTTGTGCACAGATGGAAGGCTGACAGGCAGGTAGGCCATCCAGTTATTTTAGCCGGGCCGGCTCAGATGATTGGTCGTGCTTTTTACAGCGCCACGGCTTCCACAGATGAAATATTTGTATGTATTTATTGTCAAAGCATTTAATGTATTCATTGCTATCGGGATGTTAAGAGCATTCCATGGAATATAACAATAAGTGTTTCTGAAGTGAATCACCTACCCCACCTTTAAGAGATGAAGGATTTTGGAAAAGTTGAGATTCTAGATGTACACGTAGCAGCTTTAGGAACAAATTGCATGTCAAGCGAGTCACATGATACAACAGTTTATTTATTCTCGTCCCCGTGGTACACAGCAAACATCCATTCTGAAGGTTTGCAAAGGCACTAATTGTGTAGACATCCAATAATAAATCATCAGGGGTCAAGTTGGTCCAGAAAAATGTCAAACTGCATCGTTTACAAATGGGTAATTTGACTGGAAATATTAGTAGCATTCAGATACAGATTTATCACACATCGGGCAAACATTCAATCCAACTTATTAGATGAGAGAAAGCACCATCGTATTTTACTGAAGACCTTTTTTTGCATGTATTGTTATTGTTAGAAACTTGCATTATGGATATTAACAGCACAAGGTTTTGAAGTGGGCAAGAGGTGGAGTTTTGGAGCCATAGGAAGAAAATAAAAGCTACATTTTTCTGATAATAATAATGGTCAAACTGTTGAAGGATTTGTATATATTTTTTAGGGGGAAATGGGCTTTGCTTTCTTCCAGTCCAGCACAGCAAAAGCATATTTTAAATCGTTTTTTGTACAATGGACTCAGCTGAAATATAGTCAGTTGATCAGCTAAGTAACTTCCTATTCACATGGGTTGTTATTTAACGCTCTGCAAGAAAGCAAGTAAACACATTTCCTAAAATGTTTAACTAATCCTTTAATATGACTCTGCTGTAATGTCTGTGTGATAACTACTGTAGGTCACTATGGACTCATGGGTGTGTACACTATCATTTAGATAGTATTTACACTCTAGCTGTGTAGATACAGAGGTGTAGATACAGAGGTGAGAACTGAGACTTTCTCGTCGGTCAGTGATAAAAAAAGCCGTGGGAATAATATCATTGTTTTTTTGTTTTTTTTTTAAATATCAACGTCAATATTATCACCACAGTGAAATATGAAGTGTCACTGCTGGAGGACAGAGATGACATGTGTGTGATAACTGTGATACACTGTACTGTTAACTTTTTGAATAAAATGTCATTCAAGAGCATTAACTATCAGCTTTTTTAGCACTTTAACCCAAATACATTTCATTTTGAGTGCCGTTCCTTCTTTGGTTTGTGTTACACCGGCACACACACACACACACACACACAGGTGATCTGTACACACACAATAACACTGAAACTATCCACAGTCATTTAGTAGTGATACAACAGCTGCTGTGTGTTGCCTGCTACAGGTTCAGCTAAAACCGTTTGCTTTTTAGATATAAAAGAAGACCATATGTGCAGCAGAATCTTTTGCACATCCAAACATTGTTGCTTGTCGCTGGATCGATGGTGCGGGACAGAAACAGAGTCCAAAGAAAGGCTGCTTTGTGTTTCAGTCAGAGACGGCAGAGTTGAATACACTTACAATCTTGTTAGTGAGCAGTATCGAAGCGTTGTTGAAACACTGAGAAAACACCCTTTACATCCCTCTGACACGTCATAAACAATGTTCAGTTTATATTTGTGTATATAGGGATACAGAAGAGTTATAAAAGTACCCTGTATTCAGCTGATACACACACACAAGCTTTGTGTCTACACCGTGTGCATTCATGAGTCGAACAATCACTTTTACGGTCTTACACTTCTCCGTCAGTCACTGCGATTAATAAAACAGACAATGTTAGCAAGTGTAAATGATGTGAGAAGTCTAAACATCTCAAAGCTGGTTATGTGGAAACTTGCTGATTAAGTCATTTTATCCAGTTTTTTTTTTTTTAAATCGATGCTGGTTAGTAGTTGCTACGTGGCTATGTTGTTGTTGATTACAACGTGAGCTTCCATTTCATAGTACTTTCCATCAGTTTTGATGATTTATGGTTACTTTTCCTTTCTCCCTTCCAGATCTAAGAGCAGTATACTTTGAGAACATGTTCTTATCATAGGAATGAGCGCTATGAAAACAAGACGCAAGTAAGATTACCCTTTAGTTTGTGTACAGTATAATTAGACGATTTCCCATCGATTAAAACCATCTGGGCCTTTAACACCAACGACACATCAAAGTTATCCGTAATGCGTCACTCCAGCTTCAGTTGGGATCAGGTTGCAACCGTCTCCAGCATTTTGAACATTTCACATTTTCAGAGCGAAGAACTGCTCCATCTGAAAGGCTGAAAAGTGTCGCCTTCACCCCCTGAACCAAAACTCATTCTGTTTCAATCATCTTTACACTGTGAGCAGGCACGAGGACTTTCTCCGCTCTTCACGTCTGACCTCTTTTGTTCTGGATTCGTGTAAATATTGACCTCACCGCTTAAAGTAACACACAGTCAATCGTCTGCTTGGGTCCAGAATCCTTTGTGTTCCTTTATGAAGCCTCGCTTTCTGGTAGTCCTTGTACCTGGGTAGAGTTGCAGTACAAAACATCCGTAGAGAGAAACAGGAAATATCTTGTCATTTATATTATATAATAAATAATACGACTTTGTTCATATATTTTGTAAATGTAAAAAAAAGTTCGGCCAAAAAGGGGGGGGTCACTGGCTGGCAAAACCACTTGATATAGAAGCAGCTGTTTTTTTTTTTTAAAGAAGAAATAATATATATTGTCTAATTTTGAGTATGAGGAGTCTGGGAATATAATCCATCTTTGAGTTTGAGGACGTGTCGGCAACTCTCAGCTCAGTGAAGATCAGAGACGAGCTGGACTTAAGATGGAGTCTATTATGGTAAAAAAATACCACAAGCTGCTACCTCTAACAAACCAGTTCCTTCTTCCTCAAGTCTTTCCCCCCAAACAGCATGTATCCATCCAGGCTGAGAGACAGGCCTCAGATGGTGATATAGAAGCACCTGTTTTTTTTTTTAAAGAAGACATAATATATATTGCCTAATTTTGAGTATGAGGAGTCTGGGAATATAATCCCAAACTCCTGAGTTTGAGAACGTGTCGGCAACTCTGAGCTCTGCAGTCTGGGGAAGATCCTGGTCACGCTGCGAAATCTTTATAGATCAGAGGTGGGTTTCACGTGAAGAAGAGCTGGACTTAAGATGGAGTCTATTATGGTAAAAAAAAAATACCACAAGCTGCTACCTCTAACAAACCAGTTCCTTCCTCCTCAAGTCTTTCCCCCCCAAACAGCATGTATCCATCCAGAAAGGCCTCAGATGGTGACGTGAAAAGAGTCCCAGCTGTCGTCTTTTGCGATGCCGCTCCCTTTCTTTCCCGTCCCGTCTCCCAGCTCTCCGTCCGGCTTCTCTCCGGTGGGCGTGGCTCCAGGCTCCGGGTAGTCCTCGTCGTCCTCGTCGAAGTATCCGTTCTCCATCATGCTGAGGCTGGAGGCGGCGCTCAGGTCCTGGCAGCTGCCCTTGTAGTCCTGGATGGACTCGTGCAGGGACCACAGCTGGCAGAGCAGGGACATGTCCTGCTGCCGGAGCCCCACCTGAGGGACGCATTAAGAGCATGATTAATACTTAAAGACGGCTTTTTGCAAATGTAATTATATTCTTGGTCTGTACTTTAAACTGATTTCTAGTAAGTGCACACTTTTTATTTTATTTGTTTGCATTATTTGGTAATCTGCCATATGTCTAATGTTGGGGAATGTCCGGTTGTTTATGTGTAATGTGATCAATGTAAAAAATCATGTTAAAAAAATTATAAAAGAATACACAAGGCTGTTTTCTCCTGGTTGTCAAAGGGGGCCTATTATGCTTTTTGGGGTTTTACTTTTGTTTTAGATAATCTGCGAATGGTTCTCTTAACTCTGTGTGTGTGTGTGTGTGTGTGTGTGTGAGGACTGGTTTCGGGCTGGGTTTAGCTGTGTCTCGCTGTCGGCCACTGGGCTCATAGAGAGGGGGGGGGCAGGAGCTCCAACAAGCCGTTTAGGACAGAGAGTGAATACACATACTATACAGAGATGCTGTATGAGAAACCAATGTGAGTTTGGAACATTGCACAATATACATTTATTTTAGTAGACCTCAACAATGGAATTATGATCAGTAGAAATGGCCCTTTAAAAGGGGCCGTATTGTGCTTTTTAGGAGTTTACATTTTTTGAGATAATCTGCGAATGGTTCTCTAAACTCTGCATTCAGCCCGAGACAACTAAAGCTACTAAGGATTATTTAGTACCCTTTATTTTCGAACACCAAAATGATTCAAATCCTCAGACTTACAAAGCCGGAGCTAATGAACCATGCCTTTTACTGTGACTTTATTTCAAAAAGCAATACATTGGAGTAATCTTTTCAGCTAAACAGACCATTTATCTACAAATGATATTAATAAACTAGCCGATTCATTGATAATTTGATCAAAAGACAAATGATAGCTAAACGGTTTGATAATCAATTAATTATTACGTGTTTTTTTTTACAAAGAAAATACCAAATGTTCACTGGTTGCAGCCTTTAAAATCTTAGAATCTGTTGCCTTTATATTTATTTGTCCGGCAAAAAAACAACTGAGGCATGGTGGTCATGTTTTAAAAAATGCATGCAAGTCAAATCAACCAATAGGAGAGAAGAATAATCCGTAGCTGCTTCCCTACCTGACATGACTAATTAATGGAATAAAGAAATGATACATCGACTGGCAGAGTTCAAAAGTGTGTGTGAACTGAGGGTCGCTGCATTGCATCCACACAAATCACTGTCAGTTCAAACAGCTGAAGCCTCATGCTCCATAAAGTGGGGAGCGGCTCACAGATTCTGACCAATAGGACATCGACAACGTATTAAACGGTGTCAACTACAACCTCATAGTTACACATTAACATCAACAGAGCAATACCCTTTGATCAGGGAGCAGGGAAAGTAAAGCAGGGGTTTAGTGAAGCCTGTAACCGTAATCCAAATGCCACAGAGGTAGAGTTTCATACAGTTTGACTATAAATTACTGGCTGTGAGGAATGCTTTTGTTATGGATTCACTAAGAGCCGTGGAGGAGTCTACCTTGATACTGAAACTCTGTTATTAAATCCCTGCTGCTGGCAACGGGGAGTAAGAGTGTGTGTCACTCTGTTTACACCCCAATTACTGTAGCCTTATAATGTATTGTATTCAGTACAGGTCAGGGTTACATGCTAGCTCATGAAAATAAAAGTTTAGACTGAAACTAGAAGGTATTAAATTGAGCTTAGACTATAAATCAGCATGAGCGTAATGACTTAAATTTGACTTAATGACTGCAGAGCTTATCCTGATCCTGGTTTCTCTTGGATTCTGAGTGCTTTTAAAAGAAATCTTGTTTTATCGTATCGTGCATTGAAAAGACTTCATGTAGCATGTACAAATATACACTCTGGGAATCAATGGGGTCTTTTCATAATCTCGGTAAACATACATTTCACTAAACAGAGCTGATATTGTGCAAAAATAGTTTGGGGCTAGTCAGGGTCCAATGATGACTTTCTATCACTAAAATGTAAGTGGACTGCAGGGAAAAAAGTGAAATCCATGATACCTGAAGATGATATTAATTATATGTAATTTGGTGTATGGTCATTTATATGTATGCCGAATGGGACAGGAGACTCTTACAACTTGTACAAAGTCATAAACTGTGTGTTAAGAGGTGTGTAAATATGCACAAATCCAGGCAACATCCACATCTATCTATCATTAAAATGTAAGACGAAAATGCAGGGAAAAAGCTAAAGCCATACCTGAAGATGATATTTAATTCAGGCAATGGTAAATGGTATGTATGCAACATTTAAAAGGAGACTATTATAATTAGTAAAAAGCCTTAAACCGTGTGTTCAAATGTGTGTAAGTATGCCAGACACCATCCACATACCAGGGTTTCTTTAAAGGCTTTGAAGCAGACACATGTTCATACAAGATGATATTTAATCCATGTATTTTAGTGCATGTTAAATGGTATGCATGCCGAATTTAACAGGAGACTCTTATCATTTTTAAAAAGCCTTGAACTGTGTGATAGAGGTGTGTAAATATATGCACAAAGCCAGGCAACATCTAAATATATCTATCACTAAAATGTAAGTGTGCTGCAGGGAGAAAAGCGAAATGCATACCTGGAGAGTGGAGACGATATTTAATTCACGCAATGCTAAATGGTATGTATGCCGAATTAACTAAGAGCCTTTTACCATTTGTAAAAAGCCTTAAACTGTGGGTTAAGAGGTGTGTAAATATGCACAGAGCCAGGCTACATCCAAATGCCAGAGTTTCTTGAGGGGATTTGGCTGGCTCTGAATGTAGAGCGCAGAGGGATTAAAACATGTCGACAGACCAACCAACGGACAGGGACAAACTGACCACTTTCTTCTCGTTAAATACAACTAAAATGTTACCATTTCTTTCCGCAGGAGAGCCAGAGCAGCGTCCAGGTTGGCCGGCTTGTGTGACAGCAGGTTGTCGTTTCTGCCCCGGCTCAGGTCGTCCTGGATCATGGTCTTCTTCACGTACATCCTCTCCATGTCTCTCCAGGAGCCGCCGCTGGAATTCAGCAAGCCGCTCAGGCTCTTCGGCAGCGGGGGAAGACCCTCGATACAGGCCATGCCCCCCAACGAACCGTTCGTAGACTTACCATTCATCGTCCTGTGAGTTACTGGCCGAAAAGATGCTGGGATTTAACACTAACGGTGACTGTTTGTTGGGGCAGAATCCTGTAAATGTTGTGAATAAACGGCCGTCTCTTCCACACCAAACAAACTGAGCAACAGCCGTGGTTTTCTCTGCTGAGGGCGGCCGGTGACGACACGTCAAAGTACCCGGATTGAAGTAATTTCATTTCCGGTTTGACCATCAAAATAAAGGGGATTTCTTTTTGTACTACAATAAATATATATAAGCTGTAGGTTCTGAAATCATTGTTTTCCATTCAACAACTGCAAGTTAGACCATCTATTACTGTAAGAAGAATATGTATGTAACTCTGTGGAATATATACGATTGTATTGTATCAATAAAGTACTTATCTATCTATCTATCTATATCTATCTATCTATCTATCTATCTATCTATCTATCTATCTATCTATCTATCTATCTATCTATCTATCTATCTATCTATCTATCTATCTATCTATCTATCTATCTATCTATCTATCTATCTATCTATCTATCTATCTATCTATCTATCTATCTATCTATCTATCTATCTATCTATCTATCTATCTATCTATCTATCTAATGTAATCTACCACACTGTATTCTGCATGTTACACCTTTTTATTTTATAAATAGTGCTGCTACTTACTTATCTAACTGAATGTGTACTTCTGTACATTTTAATGTATTTATTATGTGCATGCCTTTCATTTTATTGTTGTATTATTTTCATCTGTATCTATACTTAGCTCTCACAATGTAAATGTCCCCTCTGTGGGACGAATAAAGGAATTCAGATTCTGATTCAAACGTACATTTTAATGTTGAATCAGGTTTAGGAAGACAGAAACGTTTGGACCTTCACCAACCATGATACGATATAGGTTTGTTGTCTTCGTATAACTCATTACATTCAATAAGTGGGCCCTATGGATGCATTTAAAGGGATTTAAAGGGGACCTATCATGCAAAATGCACTTTTTGATGTCTTTTATACATAAATATGTGTCCCCGGTGTGTCAGGGAACTCACGCAGCGTCAGAAAATAAAACCCTCTCTCTTTTCCTCCGTACCCAAATCTCTAAAAACGGGGCTACAACGGAGCTGATCCAGATTTGCGTCCGATATGACGCAACATCAGAAATGTAGGCTGGCTTTACACCCACGGCCCAATCAGAAACGTTGCTATCAGAAACAATGCCCGACTGTTTTGGACGTAATATGTTGTGTAGAATAGCTGGATATAAAAAGGAACTCACCCCGTGGTATAACCGGCAAGAGAGAAAGCCTTTGAGCTCCATACTGTTTCAGAAATAATCCTTGATAATCCATGATATGGCGTTTCATCACGGCAGTATTTAGTTTAGACCAGTGGTTCTCAAATGGGGATACGTGGACCCCTATGAGTACGTTGGAGTACTGCAGGGGGTACGTGAGATTTATTTTATGTTAATGAAAAAAACAACATAAGTAATGCATTTAAACAAACTACTAATAGTAGATTAACTACTTTATTCAAAAGTTTACAGTAATTCTGAATAATAATTTGGGGAAAATAAATGGGGTGCTCTCTTTTCCTCTCCCTCTCTCTCTCTTTCCCTCTCCTGACAGCCCGTCAGTCTCGTGCAGCTCGCTGAACCTGTACTAAGTGACCCGACAGTAAAGAATACATATATTTATAACTAGTTTAGCTTGTTCCAGAGTAGATAAACTAGCTAAGTGTGTTAGGTCTAACTCTTAGTGTATTTTGCTCCGCTCACCGGTCCGTCACAGCGGGGGAGCTGTGTTCCGGAAGACCTGCGTGTTCTCCGTTATGATCTGATCTCTCTCTTGCGTCTGGTTATACTTCACTCGCGTTTATGTCCAAATCTATCAGAGCTAGTTCTAGTTAATTATATGACTGCCTGCTTATCAAAGGACCTAAACAATAAGCGATGCTTGGCAACGGCGTGTGGCCGCAAAGTATAGCGCAGCATTATGCATATGTTTATATGAGGGGTCAAAATCCCATGCTCATAAAATGTTCATATATTTTTTTCTCTTCATTCCCCACACCCCAAAATAAATAAATAAATAAATATACCAATTTTAGGAAAAGTAAAGAAGCTTGAGCAGTGTGGGTTTTATATTAACAGAGTTACACATATTTCAAAACACGAAGTGTAATAGCAGTTTGCCTCATGATCCTCAGTGAAGCACAAGCCCATGTTTCTCACATTGTAAGTACAACTTATTAAAAAGATCAGTTCAATGCAACTAATGTCGTCTTAGTGTTATTGCATGATGTTAAAATTGGTTTGCCACGAATTTAGTGATGGATTGTAAACATTTGAAATGTAGCATTTAAGTGTTACAAGGTTGTTGTTTTAATAAATCAGACACCGATGGTGCAGCGCCCTACTGTACCTCTTTATACAGGCTTTTTGTCCCTAGAAAATAGTTTTTGCGCTGATCAGGGGGTACTGAATTTTTTTTTCAAAGGGGGTACATTATTGAAAGAAGTTTGAGAACCACCGGTTTAGACAGTAGCTGCCGGGTCCCGCATGAGCTCAGCCCCCTCCTTGTTTTTATTATAAAGCTTTATACCCCAGATCAGCACTTTTGAAACAGGAAGTGAAATAGAGGGATATGAGGCATGGCTAGAATGGGTGATCTGTTTGGTATTTTGAGCAAAACACTTTATAGACATGTTTTTTATATATTTGTATATATCTGAGACCTATGCTATTGCCTAAAAATAGCATGATAGGTGACCTTCACTATGACTTTGTGGGCGACACATCTGGCTGCTGACATTTTGATGGACTGGTTTTGTTAATGACAAATGTTGATTCTTTTTTTTTTAGTATGGGCATTTTTATAAATGTTTTTTACTAAGAAATGTAGGTGTAGGTTCTGTAAACATGTTTTCCTTTTCACAATTACAAACCTACATTTTTCATGTTGAGTCAGGTTTAGGGATGGTAAACCATTCAACCTTGATAGTATAATGGCGACTATAATTAGATTTATTCCACATCATTTATTCAACTAGAGAGCTGGTCCCTCTGGAGGCATTTAAAGGGTTTTAAATGACTTGGAGGCAGACACATCTGGCTGTTGATGTTTTGATTAATTGGTTATTTTAATGAGGAATTTTGGTTAAGATATGTTATGTGTTCATTGTTTTATATTGTTGTATATCTTATCTTATCTTTTTATTAAATCAGAAGACACTTGAATATATATTAGTATATTTTCATACAACTACAAAGCAGCAAAATATTAAAGGCATTGACCAGTTAAATGATTTATTCAGGTATTTGGAGACATTTATGAAAAGTGGATATATACTGGGGGTAATATAATAATAATAATAATTGTGACAACTCAGTTCCAAAAATAAAATGTAATTAAAAAAATTGACATTTATTTTGAAATCCAACTTCCGGTCATCTCATGGTTGGATATTACCTTGATGGTGCTGATTGTGGCTGAGAAGTCAAATCCGCTTCCTGTCCATTTAACACGGTGGCTGCTGGGCGTCCCCCTAGGCAGGCAAACTGAGTCTGTTTGATCTGTTTACGTTTTTTTAATTAATATTCAAAATAATTTGAACACCAGTAAAAATATTTTGACAAAGCATAAAAAATTCAAAAAATATTCTTTACTGTGTTAGTGAAGAAACGAGGTAAGATATTTGACAAACATTTATGATAAGAAATAAGAAGCATACATTCCACCTTGAATATCCAGTATAGCCAACGACATGTATCTATAACATCAATACAGATTCATTCATATACACTTTCTATTTGGATACATGAATAACTATTCTATAGAAACATATACACAAGTCTTAATACAAATGACTACAAAAAAGAGAAACAAGATGATTGAATAAGCTAACGGATGTGATCTTGTGTAAGTATTAATCTTTCTATGATGTTCGTGTTCCAATAGTGAAACATTGAACACTCAATACTTATTTAAAATGAAACTGAATGCCTTCCTATCAGCTTAATGTTGGAATGTAGTGTTCATTTGAGTGCCTGCAATAAACCTAATTGATAGACTTCCCCCAGCTGAGTGCAGTCATAGAGTATGAGGTCATGATGGGAGTATGTGTGTGTGTGCGTGCGTGTGTGTGTGTGTGTGCGTGCGTGTGTGTGTGTGTGTGTGTGTCTGGGGACAATAGTTTTGGAGTATAAAGGACAGATGGTTGGCTTCACTTCCCGCACCCCCAGCCTGCAGCTCCGTAACAACAATATAACAACAATAACCTTGAAATCAACACACAAAAGCATCACACACGCTCCCCGGCAAAAGAGGAGCATGTGATGTACCACACACACACACACACACACACACACACACACACACACACACACACACACACACACACACACACACACACACACACACACGCACACGCACACGCACACGCACACACACAGTCAGGCAGATGGATAATGTAATCCACTGAAATGAATTGAATCTCCTACAGACAGCATCATGTGCTTCTTCTTATGAGCACCCTACACTAGAGCCAAGCTTTAAAGATCTGCACTTATTGCTACAAAAAATAATGATTTGATTTTACTTTCATAGGCTATTAGACTAAAAGGTGCTGCTGTCAGACCTTATGATTTATTTGCATTATTGGGAGTGGGTGAATAGATATATATTAATCTCTGTACGTGACTGACAAAAAGTAGTAAAGGGTCAGTTAAAATAGTGTTACAAAAGGACAATGTAAATGTATCCTTTTCCTCAAACCCTTAATTTTTTAAGGCTACAAAGCCAATAAGCTACTATTTGGAAGCAAATGCTAAAACCACTAGCTAGTGTCTTCAAATCAAACAAAAAAAAGTTGGTTCAAATGTGTATTTTAATCCACTTTGTACCTCATAAATGTACTGGATTTACAGTGTTGTCATACACATATACAACTCTGTTTCCTGACTAATATTCCTGTTTTGAGATGGATAACCAACAATGTGACTTCCTAACTGTTAATTCCATGCTATCAATACAGTGTCAAATACTACATTTGCCGTTGAAAAGCATCTGTACAGTACAGCCTAATCCTGCTCTCAGAAACAAGTAGCCATGCGCCGACAGTCCTCAGCTGCAGACCGATCAGGGACAATCTGTTTTGTGAGGCTTTTATGAGCAGAAGGACTCCTCTTTAAGCTTTCACCACCAGCACCATCATCACCACCACCATCATCATCATCATCATCACTGCCTTCAGAGATCAAAGGATTAAGCGTATGATGCCCACCCCCCCCCCGGGTTGCATGTAACCGCAGCAGGCTCGTGTTAATCTGCCTTGCTAAAAAAGCATCACTTAGCGTATGGTGGCTAATAATGCTCTGAAGATATCCGCTTATGTCTCTGCTGGAAAGCGATACGTGTTGCTTAAGGCCAAGGAGATTACACTAAGTACTCATGAACTGTACATAGGCAGAACATGAACCAAGACTTTTACAAATATGTCTCTCATTGCATGTATTCTTGGGCATTATTATTTGAAGCCCTAGAGTGCAAATACTATGAATATAACATCATAATATGTCTTAAGAACATTTTTTTCTTCTACCACCATCCCATCTCACTGCTGGAACAACTCTGCATTGAACTTGGAGCTGATGCATCATTGTCAGAGAAACACAATGGGGTCCGACGGGAAGGAGGGAGTGTGTGTGTGAGTGTGAGGTCAGCTTCCTCTCGTGTGTGAGTGTCCGTCAGAACAGCTGCTGTCCCTGTTTCCTCTGGAGGGGTGATGTCAGGGTGACGTATAACTGTACTGACAATGGATTATAGGGCTTTGTTTCAAAGTATCAAATCACATATGGAAGTGTTGTCAACAATACAGATGTAGAGGGTAAAACATCCTCTTCCTGCTGTTAAAAAAAGGAAACAATGAGACATTTCTCACGGAGGGAATGCGTGCGCTCCCACTCCTCAACTTCCAGGTGTATTCAAACATTTTTGAAGCTGATCTCTGTTATTTCCTGTTTCCGAAAAATGCATGATCTCACGACCCCTCACTGGTTGTTAATTGTCGATAGGGCTTTAATATGATTGGTTGTGCTTTCAAGTTATCCTTGTAAGCCATTACTTCCAAGTGCATAAATCAGGATCATGGTCTTTTATTCAGATAAAACTAAAGGTTGGAAATAACAAAACAAAACCTGTTCTTCTTTTCTTTAAACATCACATGTTATACCTCAAACATCAGAGAACCTCCATGCTTTCTGTCCCAGATCTATTCTCCCCTCACACGTGCAGAGAGAGGATGATCAGCGGTGTGTGTAGCAGCAGCATCAGTCTGTGGTGTTTGAATGAGATGTGTGATTAGCTCTCGTGCTCTGTCACCCTCCTGGCCTCTCTCCATTCTGCAGGGACAGGAGGGCGTAGTCCTGACCAGCAGCTGGCCTCCCGCTGTCTGACCTCTGACCTCCCCCTCCTCCCCATTTCTGCTCACCAACCAGCTCCGTTACACCCACTATATGTCCTTCTCTTCTCTTGTCTCAAGTACAACTCCTCATTCTATGTGTGTGTTTTAGCTAAGGGGTTCTTAGATAAAACACAGACACAGCAGTGAGCCCACGTTACTCTATATGAATCACATTGAGTTGCAGATGTAAGCTTACAATAACGTGTAGGGCAGCCTAAAGTGCCACGTTTGAATTAACCTTTTTTATGGTTCATACAATACTAGCTTTTAATATGAAAATATATAGACACTAGTTTCCTGCTACAGATTGGTGTGGTGCAGTGATTTAGCACAGGTTAGCTAGCACACACTATTGCATGATTAAAGGTCCCATGTCATGGCCATTTCTACTGATCATAATTCCATTGTTGAGGTCTACTAGAATAGATTTATATTGTGCAATGTTCCAAAATCTCATTGGTTTTTCATACAGCATCTCTGTATAGTATGTGTATTCACTCTCTGTCCTAAACGGACTGTTGGAGCTCCTGCCCCCCCCCTCCCTGTGAGCCCAGTGGCCGTCTGCGAGACAGCGAAACCCAGCCCGAACACACACACACACCGACTCACAGCCTCGCCGCGTCCCGCTGTCTCAGGGAGGAGAAATCAGCCGAGCTGCAGCTGAGAAAAGATTGAGTGTGTGTGTGTGAGGAAGTCAGCGGATTGGTCCATTTTGACCAATCCACGGACTTAACGTAACGGCTCCGCGGATTGGTCCATTTGGACCAATGGGTCCATTTGGGTATGGGCACGTCACTGTACCCAGGAAGAAAACAATGGAAAAAGAGAAATGTCCAAAGAGGCGTTCTGGGGCAGCATAGACAGGTCTTTTCTGTGTTAGAGTTTTACTCGCTACAGGGTGTACTTTGAGGGTTTGTGACTCTGCAGACCGTTTACATGCAGAAAAAGCTACATAACACACAAGGGGACGGGTAATAACCAGAAAAGCATGACATGGGACCTTTAAAGGGTAACAGTTACACTTTCATCCGTGTTAAGTAAGTAAGTAAATGTGTTCTTCTGGAGTCAGACTTAATAGTTGCTAATATGCTAGATACTTGATAATATAATGCATATTTCTGGACATATTTAAATAAGAAAGTCTGAAATATATATATATATCTTAATGGTTTAGTGCAGTCAGTGTTTTTTGCGTAGCACTCTATAAAACTCTGCATGATGAAAACAGATGGTTGTAGCTGCTTGAAATTTCATTAATACTGGATTCAGAACTGATGGTGCAAATCTATCAAGTTTTTTTGTTATTTACTCATTAAAGTTATTTTTTTTATCGATGTGATGATAAAATGTTAGATACTGGGACACGCTCCAAACAGAACAGTGAAAATGTTTTATTTGGCAACAAAATCTCAACATATTCAAAACTTTCCTCCAACGTATAAAAGTGGAACAAACATATAAAATGATCTTAAAGTAGCAGTAAAATGTACATTTCGAACTCAAAACATTAAAACACAAACACGTCAACAAAACATCCTCGGTGTATCTACAGTGGATCTGTGTCATCAAGAACACTGAATTACAGTCACAGATACCGTGCACTCTCTGACCCCTGCAGTGTAAATGCAAAGAGGTGCAGAAATAAATAGCCAGTCTGAAAGCTGACTCCAGATCAGCAGAGGTCAGGTGGTGCGAAGGGCAGCACCAGCAGATTGTAGGTGGAGGATCCATATATCTCACACACACACACACACACACACACACACACACACACACACACACACACACACACACACACACACACACACACCACACACACACACACACACACACACACACACACACACACACACACACACACACACACACACACACACACACACACACACACACACACACACACACACACACACACACACACACACACACACACACCAATGTTAAGAGCAGCACCTTGAGAGCTTTTCTGATGAGCATGATAGAATGTAATATAAGAACGTCATCCTTTAAATGTTAAACATACAAAAAAGAAGAACGCTTTAGTTTCTGGTTCACAAATCAGAGAGAACTTACTGGAATGACATTTTGCCAGATGAAAAAGACATAATTAATTCAATACAATTCCTTACATTATCTGTTATACCCTGCTGTAGGCATTCAATGTCAGACGGCACTTGTGAGAGAAGAAATGTGACCATGACAGTGAGGTAAAAACCATTATTTTCAAATAAAACGGAAAGTATTTTGACTTTGTTGAGAAGATTTGGTCAGAGGAAGTCACTAAAACTCAACACAGCAAACTCCCTGAAACTCCACCTAACATTTTCAACTTTATTGCAACGTCCCTTTCACCTTCTCAACGAGCTCCGCCTTACTCCTCAGGAGAGGCAGGAATCAAGATGCTGGTTGATGTCTGACTCCGGCACCTGCGTTTGGCACACGGGACAGCTGACCGTCAGCGCGGAGGAGGAAGACGAGGAAGAGGAGGAGGGGGTAAAAGTGAGCATCCCAGGGAGCGAGGAAGTAGAGGAGGATGCAGAGGAAGTGGCAGTGGCAGTTCTTTGCTGCATTGCGGGTGCTTTTGTCTTCCCCAACTCCCTCGGCGCTGCTGAATCGCTGCCTAATGCCTTCTGGAAAAAGTCATAGATGCTGGGGGAGTTCCCGCGGTCGTCCCACGGCCTCTTCCTCGATGCCGGAGCAGAACCGGAAGCTCCTGATTTACCGTCGCTGTTAGTTTGACTGAAATACTTGGACTGTGATGGTTTAACAGGGCTGCCTTTGGTTCCTGTTGAAACCACAGAATGGCTGGGTTTACTCGGACTAGCCGTAGATGTTAGATTGTTATTCAGCTGTTTAGGAATGACGCCAGACGCAGAGAAAGCAGCATTAGGAGAATCTCTTTTAGTTTCTGGGTTAGAGGATTGACCCGTTGACTTCCTGAGGCTCGTGCTGTCAAAGAGGCCTTCTATGGACCTCTGTGTGTTTTTATCTACGTCTTGGCTACGGCTGCTGCCGCTGTGGGGTCTGGAGATTCTCACCGGAGAGCCGTTGATGTTGATAAAAGCTCTGGTGTTGCCGACAGACTTCTTCTTAAGTGGCTTCTGCACCATGGAGGAAGCTGGTCTGATGGAGGGGACAAGACTTTTAGCTGGAGAGGATGGCGGGAAGAGCTTCTTTGGAGAGGGAGGCACCACTGGTGAGGGTTGGGGATTCCCTCCAAGCTGGAAGCCTTTGCCACTGAATGGGATGAGGTTCCTTATGTCCTGTGATACGGAAACTGAGGGGAAATAAGTATATATTTGAGACTTTCTGTGATGTCAGACCAAATAGATTATAAGATTACACTTTTAAATGATTATCTAAGACCTGTTGCTAACCTTGAGCCTCGAGAAATCGTGTTATCTGCCTGAAAATTACACTTTTGAAGATGTTGTTTTCTTCAGGCGACATCTTTGGTGATAAGCTGTAATTTGAATGTTTCTGAATCTCACTCTTACTTATTTTGGACTCTCATCCTTTTGATTCATCTGGGTCATTGTACGACCAAAGCAAACAAGTGCTCGCTAGGCTAGCATAAGCTAAAAAGAACATACACTGATATACACTCTGTTTTAAGGAGCAAGTTGATCGTATTTTAGGCTTAAAAATCATTGTGTTACCTCATTTAGGGATAGATAGTGACTTAACCATGATTTACTTAAAATGTATGAAGGACTAGTTATCACAGCAGAAGAACGACCTCCTCACCTGTAGTTGTGCTCGGGGGCTTTTCATTTCCAGAGGCCTTCTTCTCTGAGGCCTTCTCGTCTGTTTCACCCTCCAGCTTGCCGCCCTTCTTGCCTTTTTTGCCGTATCCCTCTGGCTCTTTGACCTTGGTGTAGGTCCCTCCACACGTCCTCCTGTGGTCTCCCCACCACGGATCCTGAGAAGAAGGAGCCCGGTTCATGGCCCTCTTTACGAAACCAAAGTAGGGCTTGCGGTTCTGACAGGGCCCGTTGCATTTCCACCAGTGCTGCCGGTACACGTCCACCTCATCGTGGAAACTGTGGTAGACCTGAGAATAAGACATGGGTTTATTTATTATTCATTAATCTAAGCTAAAAACAGACTTAATACATACAATGTGTAATAGAAGATCCACTTACAGAAATCCGTGTCCCGGTGGCATCGTTGATCCGGTCCATGTGTTTGCAGAACTCAGGGCCGTGACCGTCTCTGTCTCGGTTGTTCTGGGTCACAAACAGCAGCGCGTGGATCATTTCATGAAGGAGAGTCTGTGGAAACAAAAAGAAGAACAGTAGTAACCAGTGTGAATAAATACTAAATTGTGTCTACTCTTTTCAGTGTTGTTTTGATTGTTGTCTTGTTGTTATACAATATGTCATAAGCCAAACACTTCTGAAAAAGCAAGATTAGTGTAACTAGCCACCTCACCTGCACCAGGTCTTTTCTCGGTCTGAGCTTCAGCAGAGGCGCACTCAGTCTGATTGAGCACAGACCCCCTCGGCCCTCATAAGAACACACACCAGCACACCTGAACAAAAGCATCAAAACAGAAGGAAACATTAGAGACAGACGGCCCTTTCATGAACCCTATAAGCACCAGCAGCACTGGTTTACTGGCTAGTTCAAACCAGAGGTGGAAGATGTATTCAGGTCCCTTATTTTGGTAAAAGTAACAATACCACACTGGGAAAATAATCCACTATGAGTAAAAGTCCTGCATTTTAAACCCAAATTCAGAAAAGTATGTAAGTATTATACATCAAAAGCAGTAGAATGGTCTCTTTAAGAGTTTTGCTAAGATTTATGATGTTTTTAGATCAATATTATTGCTGCATTGATGTTTATGTTGCATTTTATTGCTAAGTTGGCAAATTTGTACAGCTACATCTCAGAAAATAATTGGTCAGTTAATCAACAACATTCACATTTTAAAATAGATACATGTGTTTTACTGGACAGAAAGGGTATACAAAAGTGATCTGAAAACGAACTAAAACTGCTGTGTGTGGAATAAAAAGTACTATATTTGCCTCAGAGATGTAGTGGAGTATGAGTATATGGTAAGGCAATATATAAGTACTTAAATACATGCATCTAGCGTCATTAGACCACTGCTTTAAATAGTGACATAACCTTATCATCTCTCCAATGGTCACACCAACACCCCAAAAATGATGTAAACATTTTATTTTTTTTAAACTGAGGGCATTACTGCACCTACACGTCAGCATGGTTTTGGTTTCTGACAACAATGACAACACAATCAATCATAACACAGTATAATGTGACTCACAGTGTCATCCTTGGGCTCCACTTCACCTCCACACCGTTGAGTTTACCCCAGAAGAAAGTGTCATTGAACTCCAGAAACATGGCTCTGACATCGGGGCTGGGGTCCAGCGTCTCCCAGGAGGAGTCCACGATGGACAACGGCCTGTCGGGCTGCACTTTCGGCTTCCAGTAGGGAACAACACCGCCTCCAGATACCTCCACTTTCCGTTTTTTACTGCTCTGTTCGAAGCCTTCATCATCAAAGGCACTGGATGAATATGATGGTGTCTCGTATTCATTGTCAAACTGCTCCTGGAGCCGAAGAGCTAGCATAAAATCTTCATCCATTACAAAAACAATACATAAAAGATTATGCAAACTGAGGTAGCTAGCCACTTAGCTTTGGTTGTTCGGGCTAACTAGTTAACGTAGCTTATAAAAGGCTCTCAAACAGCAAGTGACATAATCACCGGAGCCAGAAAACAGTCTGACAGATATAAGACATGTACAAAAAATTACATTTGTGTCATACTTTCATTAAAAACACGCAAATCTTCATGTTGGACGAAGATTTTCCTGCTAACTGTCAGTCCGAAGCTAGCGCCAACGGTTTTTTGCATGAAGTCTATCACAATGCAACCAAATAACATCCGTTAAGAATTTCAAAATAAAACTTCCAAAACAACTATAATGTAACTATTTGTTGTAAAATGTAAAACTCAAATAAATACAATAAAGAAAATGCGTGTATGTTTAATGAATATCAAAATGATAAAATTACAATTATCAGGAGCCTTACACATGAGCGTTTCTTTAGTTATTCCTCGACCTGTGTTTAAATCATGATTGTTTGCTCTTATTGTGACACTCATTTCCGGATCTAGATTTGTTGTTAACTTGGCCACACCTTGTTTCGAACGGTTTCAAATACAGCAAGGAATTGTGGGAATTGTTGTCTTCTTTAATTCTTGTAGGCTGCTTGTGGTTGGCCAACCTAAAATGCACCCGGTGTTATTTCGTTGTAGTTTACTGATCAAATAAAGGATATTCTGCCTCAAAAAAAGTGTTATTTATCCTTTACATTGATAATGTATGTAATTTAGAACAATTTATAATGTTAAAAACGATCATATTTGTAATACATATATTTGTTTTGATGACATTTGTTGGCCACTTCATTTTCGGAATCCCGTGACGTTTAGGGTGGCAACTTCCTGTTTGGGTTGCAAGCGGACATGAATCGATGAACTCTTCTTCTGTCTACATGTATCACTATTTTATCTAAATAAGGGAACACACACACCACAGAAATGTCGGAAACGGGGAACAGACTTCGCAAACTGCTCGAATCACAGAATTTCGACCCGCAAAATTACGTGAAGCAGCTGTCCCAGCAGTCCGATGGAGACAGAGATCTGCAGGAACACCGTCAAAAGATCCAAAACCTGGCCGACGAAACGGCTCAAAACCTGAAGAAAAATGTCTACAAGAACTACAGACAGTTCATTGAAACTGCTAAAGAGATATCCTACTTGGAGAGCGAGATGTACCAGCTGAGCCACATCCTGACCGAGCAGAAGAGCATCATGGAGAGCATCACTCAGGCCTTGATATCCACAGATAAGGATGAGACCTCTAAAGAGATGCAGGCTGCTTTCCCCAAAGAGACAGAGGAGCTGAAGCAGAGGACACTCACCTCCCTGCTGGAGAAAGTAGAAGGGGGTAAAAACATCATGGACACCCCAGGGAGGCATCTTGTCTACAATGGTGACCTTGTTGAGTTTGATGTTGACAACATGTCCCCCATCCAGAAGGTGCACGCTTTCCTCATGAACGACTGTCTGCTAATCGCCACCTGGCTGCCCAACCGCAGGGGAACCGTGAAGTATAAATACAACGCCCTGTACGACCTGGAGAGCTTCGCTGTGGTCAACGTGAAGGACAACCCTCCCATGAAGGACATGTTCAAGATCCTCATGTTCCCCGACAGTCGCATCTTCCAGGCGGAGAACAGCAAGATCAAGAAGGAGTGGCTGGAGATCCTGGACGAAACCAAGAAGAACAAAGTCACCAAGGACAGGCACAAGAAGGAGGAGGAGGTCCCCGTGTCTCCTGTGAGGGCCGAGGTGTCCACCAATCCTTTCGATCAGGAGGAAGAACATCAGCCAGCAGGGGAGGCAGAGGAAAGCGTGGACCTCAGCCTCGAGTGGATCCAGGAGCTGCCCGAGGATCTGGACGTCTGCATCGCCCAGAGAGACTTCGAGGGCGCCGTGGACCTGGTGGACAAACTCAACGAGTATCTGAAGGAGCAGCCGGTCAACCAGAGGGTCAAAGAGCTGCGGCTGAAGGTGGAGGAGCGGCTGCGCCAGCTGACCGAGGTCCTGGTGTTCGAGCTGTCTCCAGATCGGTCCCTTCGGGGGGGGCCTAAAGCCACCAGGAGGGCCGTGTGCCAGCTGATCAGACTAGGTCCTGCTTTGTTTTTTGGTTATCTTTCATTAATAGCACCTTACACATCAACTCAAAAGTCAACATTGCTTTTCTGCAGGGAAACTACAGTGTCTCCAAGTTAAAGGGCACCTTGACAGGAGTGGATAAGGGATTGTTACTGATTTACTTCCCACTCCTACACTGTTTACAATCATTTTGCATGTGGTAGTTAAATCTGCTAGCTCAAATTCTCCCAGCAGAACACTTTTAAAGACTTATTTGAGTCCAACAAAACTAATATTTAATAATAAAAAGCATTTTTCTTTTCTTTAAATCACTAAATTCCAAATAGTATTTATTTATTTTACTGATCATATATATTATTGGTTCTTTTTATCTTCATATATTATGTTCTAAAGTGGTTTAAAAGTATTTTCTGCACTTTTAAGTACTCAATGCATTGTATGGAGTAAACAAAATGTTTTCTTGTTGCTACAAGCAGTCAAATCTTAGGATATTTTGTCAAAAACGTGTAAGAACAAGCGTAAATGGTTATTAAATCATGTTAAATACCCTGAATCACAACATTAGATCACATTTGCAGTACATTTGAATAGTTTTTGACATGCCAGTCCACCTTGATATTCAGCCAAAATGTGTAAGGATCAGTTTTAAACCACATATGTATGATTGGTTATCACAACATTTGAAAATGCCGTGTCCTTTTTGTTGTAAATTTGAATCGTATTTACTGTGTTTTCAGGCCAGTCCACTAAGGCCTGCGAGTTGTTCCTGAAGAACCGAGCTGCGGCGGTGCAGACGGCCATCCGGCAGCTGCGTATAGAGGGAGCCACGCTGCTCTACATCCACAAACTCTGCAACATCTTCTTCACCAGCCTGCTGGAGACGGCCAAGGAGTTCGAGATGGACTTTGCCGGGAACACGGGCTGCTACTCCGCCTTCGTGGTCTGGTCCAAAACCACCATGAGGATGTTTGTGGACGCCTTCAGCAAGCAGGTATGTAGAGGATAATACTTTAATGGTCAGATCAAGTCTGAAATGTGACTTGCATCACAGCAGCTCCATGTGTAACATCAACAGACACATGTCAAGACACAATACATGAAAAACAAACAACACACATTTAACAGAACAGCACAATCACTGAGGGGAAACCTGCTCAAAGAGCCTTCAGCGTGCATTTGATCTGGATTCAGCTACTGTGAGGACTGACTGGAGCACAAAGGATGCTTCAGTCTGACTTTAGTGATCTCCATTAGATGGTAGCAGTTCATATTCTCTGTTCAGAACATGCTTTGGGTCTGAGATGATGTTGTTGGACAGCCTCACTTGGTTATTATGGTATGCTGAGTCAGAAAGTCTCATAAGTAATACATGATATGGTTACCACAGGGGGATATTTGTCATTTGAACCGAGTGAAGGTGTATTTATTCCTGTGAAATATCAAAGTGATATCCTAGTGAAGTGACTTATTGTGTTCCTCAGGTGTTTGACAGTAAGGAGAGCCTGTCCACAGCAGCAGAGTGTGTTAAAAAGGCGAAGGAGCACTGCCAGCAGCTGACGGAGATCGGCCTGGACCTGACCTTCACGCTGCAGTCGCTGCTGGTCAAAGACATCAAGGCGGCGCTGCAGAGCTACAACGACATCATCATCGAGGCCACCAAGCACCGCAACTCTGAGGAGATGTGGAGGAAGATGAACCTCATGACCCCCGAGGCTCTGACTAAACTCAAGGTGGGTTTGGATTCAACTCGTTTTTCTTGTAGTGTTAATTGGTTCTCAGCTGTCCTGTTCTGAGCTGCTATTGAGTTGTTTTTAGCAGTCATGCTATCAGCTCACAACTGAACGGAAGCAAAACAATTGAAATGTTTATATACCCCTGTGAAGCTGACCGACCAAGCAAGGAGGCAGAGGCAGAACGTCCCAAATACAACCCGGTGTGGGCATTTATTTCTCATTGTGGTACATGACACAGCCTCAATATTACTGTCCACGTGAACACAGTCACCAGCAACAAGGATCTCACACACACTAACAGAGCCTAAATACACACAGGACTAATCAAGCCAATAAGATAACACAGGTGAGGGGGGAGGAGACAACACAGGCACCAGGTGAACACAATCACCAACAATGAAGCTATACAATCCGTAACGGAGGCCGAGATCTATGGGCCCAGAGATCACCTCCGTTACAACCCCACTGTATAACCAAAAAATAAACATTTATCTATCTACACAAATATACCCATACATGTATACCCATACATACAATATATGTTAACCAATACAACCATACACTTAAATGTAACCATGCAAACATTACAAAATGCCATTAAATAAAAGAAACACAACACACAAAAAAGGGTATATATATATATATATATATATATATACAACTTTGGACTATTGGAAACATTGAAGTAGGGCTGTGCAATTAATCGTATTTTAATCTCGATTACGATTTTGGCTTGCAACGATTACGAAAACAACGTAATCGAAATAAAACGATTATTATTTTTATAAAAAAAAAAAAAAAATGTAATTATTATTTTTTTTAATTTTTAATTTTTTTGGTTTTTCAGTTGAATTATACTTAAAGTTCAGGGTAATCAACTGTTAAAAACGTATTGTTCACATTTTTGTTTCAATAAATGGATGTTTTCAAAGTAAATGGATAATCGTTTTTAATAATCGTGATATCAATTATTGACCAAAAATAATCGTGATTAGGATTTTTGCCATAATCGCACAGCCCTACTTTGAAGCATGGTGAAAATAATTTGTAAAGGGAGGCTGTGGCGCAGTGGATTAGTGTGTTGGTGTTCGGATCAGGGGAGCACAGGTTCAAACCCCACTGCAGTCAGCATGTCGTTGTGTCCCTGGGCAAGACACTTCACCCCAAATTGCTCCTGTGGGGATTGCCCACAGTATTGAGTATGTAAGTCGCTTTGGATAAAAGCGTCTAACATGTAATGTAATGTAAAGTCTGTAGTGATTGCTAACTCAGTGCAGAAGATCTTTTTCCCAGGAAAAACCAACTAGATGCTTAGTGTTCATAAGATAAACAAGATAAGATGTACTTTGTTTATCCCAATTTGGGACCTTTTTGACTTGCAGCAGCATAACTAGCTTTCATAATGAATGTT